TTCCTGTTCTCATTTATAACATTTGCGCCTCTCGGTCAATGCCCGGGAACCCACCAGGCGGTTGGTTGGCAACCAGCTCTCTGGACCCATCCCTGACTCCATCAGCTCCCTCACCAAACTAAGTGACCTGTATGCACCAGGCTGGTTGGCTGCATGCCATGACATGATGGCCGTAATCGCTGATTTGTTCATGTTTGCTGTTGTCTAAGCAGATTCCGGGGCCTTCGTCCATCATGCTGCCATCCTGCTTCTGTAGCAGTTATTTTAATCTCGCCCACCAGTGTAGTTGCTCATATGTACTGTTTGTTTCCACGGGAATTCCCTTGTACTTGTTCCATGGCCTAATTCTTTCGTGCTCATCATCACAGAGATTTGTATGATCAAAAGTTCACAGGCTCAATCCCTGCTGGAATTGGCAACCTTGCAAAACTGACATACTTGTAAGGCCTCTACTTAGTTGTGCTCTTCCATTGCTGCCCTTTCTCTCCACTCTTTCCTGCTCTTTCTTTCCTTGTTAGTCCTCTACTGCCCTCTCCATTGATTCCTCTTCCTAGTTCTCCTCTCCCCTGTAGTCCATTTTCCTCTCCCTCAACTGTACGGTACATCCTCTACTTCATGCTAATAGGGTGCAAGCACGGCAGTGGATATGACCTGTTGCATTTGGGATTGGTAGGTCTACATTAACATTTTTGAGGCAGTACTTATTTTTTTGAGCCCGTTCCTCCCGTATTGACCACTTAGTGGTTAACCCCCTGCTGCGCCAAGAAACTAAGGGAGTGGGTTATTACATTGGCATGTAGCGCATGGCTGCATGGCGTACTGGAAGCATGAAGTGGATATATCGCAGTTTGCTAGGACATCTACTCTCGCCTTCTCTTGCTCACCTTATCTCCTCTCCTCTTCTCTACTCTTCTCCTATGTTCCTCATGTCTTGTGTGCTCCATTCCCTTTTCGTCCCTCCCCTTCTTTACTGCGTTCTTCCAATCCTCTCACGTTCCCTCCCCACCAGTCCTTCACAGTTTTAACCTGTTTTCCATTTTCATCTCCTCTCTTCTCAGCTTTCTCGCTTTTCATCACCAGTCAGTATATCATCTCTCCTTCCTGTGCCACTCCTCCTCACTTCTCGTACCACCGTCTATCCTGTGCTGTTGTCTCTCCACAGATGTTAAAGAAGTATATAGTACTGCCATTGCGCTCCTGTTGCATATTTAGAAAAAAACACCCATTGTGTGCTACGTAGTGATCATTCCAATTGTAGTTGAACTCTTTTCCTTCCCCTATCGCATGTATGATTCATGTGTACCGAAACAGAAATCTTGGATCGAATCAGCTCACTGGGTCGATTCCTGCTGCGATTATCAACCTGAAAAACCTAACGTACCTGTAAGGCCTCTGCTTTGTTGTGCTCTCCCATCTCTGCCCCTCCGAATACTTATGTTATTCCTCTCCTATCCCCCCCATTAACCACTCTTCTTTTTATCCTCTCTCTCCAGTCCACTTACCACCACCCTCTCTCCTCTACTGTACATTTTTTACTCAGTAAATATTGGAGTCCATGGCTCTAGAATGGCCACATTGCAGTATGGACTTGTCAAGGAATTCGAGGAGGGACAGGATGCCTGTTGCAGACATTCCCGACAGGATGCCTACTGGAGAGCTCCACTATGGGTTCCACAACTGCAAAGCAATCACTGCTGGGGGAAAACCCCTCAGGCCAGCTTGTCTACATGTGGGTTTCCACCTGCACCACCACGTGCAACTTGAACAGGTAGCTCGTGCCCTGCCCACTCTGAAGGATGATCGACCAGCGCTGGTGGGATGCAGCAGCTTGGCGGCCTGGTTAGTGCTCGGGTCGGTGTCAAAGTGTAAGCGGGCGAGTTTGTCGGCGACAAGCTTGAGCAAGGGCAGCTGTACGTCTCAACTTCCAAGGGGAAGAAGCGGACGCTGTCGGGCCGCAACCAGTAATGGTCGATTTTCTTGTCCGCGGCCTCCCACAGCCCAGAATCTTCCTCGAGCAGCAGTGAGATCATGTTTTCTTCCATCAGCGCCCGACTCGCGGTTGCGGATTGTGAGGTCGGCCGTCTTGCTGTCCAAACCGCAGAGAAGGAGGGTGCGGAGGGAGGGTGTGGTGCTTGTTGGTCTGCCCCGTCCCAAACGCGCAGCGAAAGAGGTGGTAGGGCAGCGGGGGGTCCTGGATACGGGCCTTCTTCCAGCAGTCACAGTGGCGAGGTGTGGAGAAGACTGCAGGGTAGACATGGGCAAAAAAAACGCATCGCATCGCATCGCATCGCATTTAATCGCGTTTTTGCGATGGCGATGTTTTTTTTTTTTTTTAATAATCATCGCGCGATGCGATGAATTAATATCGCGCGATTTAATTTAAATCGCATTTTAATCGCGATTTAAATGCGATATGCGATTTTTTAAAAATCGCGTGCGATATTGCACTGAAACCCCCTCTGAAACCCACTACGAAACCACAATGGTTATTTGCACTCTAGCTTACGACTGCCCGTGAGTCAATTTCCCCGCAGCCATGTTTTTTTTCTGTTTTTTTTTGGTGTTTTTTAATTCTGTTTTAAAATGCGATGCGATTTAAAATCGCATTGCGCGATTTAATTAAATATCGCATGCGATTTTTTATTACATCGCGGGTAAAATGCGATTTGCGATTTTTATTTTATTTTTGAAAAATAAATCGCGCGATGCGATTTAAAATCGCATCGCTTTTTTAAACATCGCACCTGCATGCGATGCGATTTAAATCGCAATCGCGTTTTGATCATGTCTACTGCAGGGCTGAGTCTGAAAGAGGGGGAGATGGGGCTGGCCAGCAGTCAATCTCTTGTGCCATAGCCTGTGAAGGATAAGACGCTGGGTATGGCCCGACCGGGGATTGAGGGGCCTAGCAAGGGAGGCAGCGACCTGATCTGCAAACCTCCACGGCGAGGGCGTGAAGGTGGATTGAGGGGTGGGGAATCTCTGTGTCTAGGAGCTGCCGGGCCCCCTCTTGGGGTGCGGCTTCGAAGCTGGAGAGCCGGGGATACAATGGCATGGGGAGGAAGAGCGGGGGTTTTAGGGCGCCTAAGGCAGGCGCGAGCGGGGCAGCAAGTCCCATGAAGAGGGAGCTATGGAGGTGGCGGGTTTGAGTAACTCTGATGAGAAAATGAAACGGGGCCTCGACTGCTGGATCCGCGGGGAGTCCGACTCCCCTGAGGAAGGCTGCAGCGAGGCCTGGGCCCAGACCCTGTTGTGCATGCCCGACGCCTGGGGCAGGCGCAGGCCACACACTTGGAGGAGGGTGTCGAGAAGCCCCCTTCCCCGCCGTGACCACTCCATGAGGAAAGGGAGGATTAATGGCATTGTGCAGCCAAGGCAAGAGACCCGCTGCGAGATGCAACGGCGGCAATGAGGCTAGGGTGTCAAAGTGGGAGTGGAGGAATGTGGCCGCTTGTCTGCAGCGACGATTATGTTGCCCAGGAACCGTAGTCCGCCAAATGGGAGATCCGCAGAAGCGTCGCCGCGCTTAGGTCGTGAGGCAGCCCATGCTCTGCAATTCAAGGGGTTGTGCGCTAGCCCCAGGGAAAAAAGGCCCGCTGTGAAGTATGAACAGGCGGCGGTGCACTCGGCTGGGTTGCCTAGAAATGTGACTTCGTCTGTGTTGGCGACGCAGAGAGCCGTAGGAAAACTGACGGCAATAGCACGAAGAGATGGGTGCATGCCGGTGGCTGGGGGGTCTTCTTGGCGAACCCCGTGTTTGCTGAGCAAGGGGGGAATTGCGAAATCAAGCGTCAAGGTCAAGCAGGGGGGGGCGGCTGTACGATAAGTGAACGGGGGAGGGAGGGGTGTGAGCCAGAGACGCAAATGGCTACAATTGCCCCCTCAATGCTGGTAAAAGCATTCGTGATGTTGACATGGATTAGAAGGGAGTTTCATGTGGGTGGAGGTTTATGCACGAAAAAGGGTGGGTAATGGCCTCTTAGGCTTGAGCAAAGGACCCGGTTAGGTCAGGTCAGGTATAACCGACCTGACCCAACGCGCCCGGGGGTTTTGAAAACCAGACCTGAGGGTCTGACCTGCAACCCGACTGCACCCCCAAAATGTTGGGTAACGCGTGACCCACAGGGTCGATTCGACCTGACCCGACGCTAGGTCATTATCGTTGATTCTGCCTATTAGGTCTGTGCGGGCGGGAATTTCGCCTGTCAGATCTGCATGCACGGACATTTCAGCTGTCAAACCTGTGGGCGCGGGCATTCCAACCGATAGATCCGTGCGGACATGACACCCCTTGTCGGAGTGGCAGGTCAGGTGACCCGTTGTTGCCCCTGTGCAGGTCGGCCTGGGGAATCTCTGGGGTTGACTCCCAACCCAACTCGACCCGGACCCGACCCCGGGTCAGGCAAAACTGGGTCGGATCAAGTCAGATCGACCTGTTGCTCATGCCTATTGCCTCCCCACCTCCCACCACCGCCACGGCCCTGCAAAGATGAGGATCGAGGATTTGGCGCTAAGTTGCACTAAATGCGTATGGCGTTTTATACGCTAGCGTATAAATGCTAGCGTATATACGCTATACGTTTTTTTGGGGCCTAGTATACGCTAGGTATACGCTTGTTCGGGCAGGTGAAAATTTTTACCCCAGGCAGGGAAAAAAACCGCGCCTAGGTGCGTACTATCAGGTGCGTACTTGTTAGACGACTCGGAAGCTGCTGCAGCTACGACAGGAGGATCCTGGGTGTTCGACATTGCGCTGCCTAAAAAACGACTCGACGCAGCGCTCCCTAAGGTTTGATTGTAGCTGAATCTGCCGCCTAACGCAGCTGGTAAGTTACGACATCTGGTTTAGGTCTAGTGTGTTTGGTGGTAGAGGGACTCAGGGCACGTTTTAGGTTTGGTTGGGATAGGTAGATGCCTTGGGGTGCAGTGCGGTTGGGGGGGGCAGATTGGTTGGAAGTTGGTTTTGGGCGAAAATTTGGGGTCTCGACATTTCGCGATAGTGTGGCTGGCTTCGTCACGTCGCGAAGTGGCGATAGTTTTTTTGGGTATTTTTCGACGGGCTGCCCCCGAAATTTCAGCCGAGCGTTTAGCGTTTATACGCTCGTATAGCGTATAGCGTATATACGTAGCGTATATACGACGAACGCCGAGGATTTCGAGCGTTTAGTGCAACTTAGATTTGGCGCAGCAAGCTCTCGCTGACGGCAACAGGACAAGTTCTGCCATCGGGTTTGGCCAAGGCTAGGAGGCGGGCAGGCCATGAGAGGGTGTGAGGGGGTTGGCGATTGCTGTTAGTAGGCGCCCTGGGAGGAAAGTATTGATAAGTGCGTGGACGTGAGTGCTGACTGAGGAGTTCGTAAAAGCAGCACCTCAGAGGTGCTCAAAACATGGTGAGTGCGAAAACGGTCGAAGTTCGGTCTGAGTTTTGGGGGAAAGCAGGGGTTGGCGACTGCCGCAACTCTCGGATGTATCCCGCGAGCTCCTTGGCTGGGATTGCCGCGCCAGGTCCAGCTCCGCTCTGGATTGAGAGATTCGGCTCAGCAGCTTGTCTACCGGCCAGGCTCCTTGGTTTGAGAGATTCGGCTGCTGCCCCAGAGTTCCGCAGCGGTTCCTCCTCCTCTGCAACACCTGAGCCCTACGTGCTGGGCCTCGACTATCGGGAAAAAAACATATGTAGTATCCCACTGCTCTTGCTCGTCAGATTCTTCCAAAACCTGTCTTGAGCTCTTAAAGCTCGATTAGCATCTCCCTGAAATTAATTCACAGCCCCGCCTTGAAGATCAACTGTGGGGTGTCATCCGCACCAGCTTGCTGCCAGTTGGGCTGCCGGTTGGGCTGCCGCCACCCTTCATTCCTGTTGTTGTTCATTACCCTTTGTTTTCCTCTTATGCTTTCTCCTCCCCCAGTTACCCATATTTACACACCTTGAAGCAGGCAAAGAAGGCCGCTCTCTTCACTTCACCTATCCCAATCTTTCCTCGTCTATTGTCTGTGCACATTCCAAGGTCAATGCCCTTTTTCGTGCTGTTTGTTATTGCATGTCGGATTCGTGCTCATCAGACGTATTGATCATTGTCAGCTCACTGATTCAATTCCCGCTGCTATCGGCTCTTTAAAGAACCTTCTCTCTCTGTAAGACCTGTTCTTCACTGTAATCTGTTTTCTTTGCCTCTCCTCTCCACCCTTTCTCCTTCTTTGGTGCTAATACTGACGTATGCACTTCATTGATCCCTCTCTCCTTTCGAACATCTAGTCTGAAGCCCAAATGTAAAAACAATGAAGCTGAGGTTGCTGATGTAAGGCAAAGTGTAGTGTAGGCAGACAACCAACCAACCGGTTCGAATCCAACAAGGGTCTTCCTAATCTTGTTTATCAAATGTTAAATGAACGGAGCTGGTTCCACCAAGGGTCCTTGCTTCACTGTGAATTGGGCCAAGGGTTTGAGTCCCAGCTGGGCACAGATTCAGGGTGGCTGTATTACGGCCAGGAAAGGGTTTGTGCAAAAATTGTTTGTCCGCTGCGGCTGTATCCATTTCCAAAGTACAGTTGATATAACCTAAGCAAATTGATAGGATGGCAACCCTTCTAGTGAGCAAGGTGGAAAATTTTGGCAGTCGATAAAATATGGGGCAAATAGTACGATCATATTTTCCCTTTATTTTTGGAAGCAAGGCACCGTAATTTCTAGTTCACATGATGTGGTCCCTATATCCGCGCATTGTGCTGGGTGAAATGCCACATTCGCCCATTTCGCTTGCCAACCTGCTAGATCTGCGCATTTTGGAGGTTGAAATGCCAGATTCACGCATTTCGTCTGGCGAAATGCCCGATCCACGCGTACAGGCAACCTAGAAATATTGATACAAAAGTTTGAATGGGTCGCAAACAGCTTCGCAAGATTGGCCACAGGAAAACGGCAGTTCTTTTGCACCAAGAAAGAGATAACACCCTTGACCAGTTATTACCTGTATTATATGGCCGAAGTAATCGGTAACATACCATACGGGAACAAGGGAAGACAGTGTCGTCTTTCTGCACTGCACCTTGGTGGAGAGTGAATACAAATATTTCGTACTTTCTGCTTTTATTTTGTGTTGCTTTTTGCTGTTCGTTGCTTATCTCTTGTACAATTCCTCATCGAGCCATAATTCTTCATCCCCCCTCTCTTCAACCCAGAACATGTCAATTCATGTTCTTGTCAAGTTTCCATTCTGTTATGCATTCCTCTGCATTTCTGGATCTTTCCCAAAACAAGCTACCTTGGAGGCAATCGGTTCAATGGCTCCATCCCTGCGACCATCAGCTCATTAACAGCATTGGAAACACTGTAAGGCCTTCGTGTTGTCCAAGAAGGAAATGTGTAAACGCCTGCTTCTTTTCATTTTCCTGTTTTTTTTTTTTTTTTTTTTTTTTTGCTTCTTCTCCATTTTCTTGTTTTGTTGTCCTACTCGCTTCAGTTCTCTTCCCTGGTGTGTGCGTCTCCCTAAAGCAGTTATTATGAGCCACATACCTGTAATGACTTCATGTTTTGCAGTGCAAATCATCTATTCCCTTTGTTTCTTTCATTGGCCCACCTCCTTTCCCCTTTCTTTTATTGTGGGTAATGTGCAAAGATGCGCTATGCTGGCCGTCGTCGTTAGGTCACTTCGTGCTCCTTTATGTCACTTGCACCTAGACATGGGCACAAGCCGAGCCACACCTGGCTCGGCTCGGCTCGGCTCGCCTTTAAGGCGAGCCGAGCCTTCTTTTTTGGTACCCGGCTCGACTCGAGCCGAGCCGGCTCGGCTCGACTCGAGCCGGCGGCTCGGCTCGGCTCGCGAACGTGAAATCAGGCGAGCCGGAGTCGAGCCGGCTCGAGCTGGCTCGATTTCGAGCCAGCCGGCTCGCGGCTAGGGAAAGGAGGGTTTTCTCGACTGTCAAATTTTAGATCGACAACCCCCCCCCTGCCAATATTGTCTGCCAACCCTAACCTCACCCTGTCGCGCTAGTCTATCGACCTCAGCCAGCCATATTTAAACCGGCAGCTCCTCCTGATAGTTTTGTAAGATGTAGGAGCAGACGATCAGCTAAATAATATGGATTATCCCCTATACTAGAGACCCCAAACCCCGTGGCCCCAATTGAGAGCCCGCACAAGCCCCTCTGACGAGCCGAGCCGAGCCGGCTCGCCGGCGAGCCGGCCCCGGCTCGACCCCATTTTCACGAGCCGAGCCGAGCTCGACCGGCGAGCCGAGCCGAGCCGGCTCGACCCGAGCCGACCGGGATCCTGAGGACCCGGCTCGAGGCGAGCCGACCCGGCTCGAGGCGAGCCGAGCCGGCTCGACCCCAAACGAGCCGAGCCGAGCCAGGCTCGGCTCATGCCCATGTCTACTTGCACCCTTTCTGTCCCTCTTGTAACTGCAGAACATTGGACGGCAACCAACTCATCGGCTCTATTTCTTTCTTTTCTTCGCTCACAAGTTTGACATATTTGTAATGCCTTCTCTCTTCTTTCTTATGAAGAAAACACAGAAGTTCCACATTCTGTTCTACGAAGGCCGTATCCAGGAAGCACGCAAACAATGCAGTTGAACGATCTATCCCACATGAAGACGTTGCACCATGTCCGTATCCTTGTTTACTCCACAGTTGTGCCTTCTTGGGCTAACTCTGTCTCGTGCATCTCTTACTCGCGTTATCTATAGGGCTCTCAACAATAATCAGCTCAGTGGGTCTATTCCGTCCGGCACAGATACTCGCTTAGTCCACCTACAATTCCTGTAAGACTTCTACTTGGATTCTACTTTGGTCAGCCTCAGTACTTCTGATCCTACTTTGTTGATGAAAACATTTGACCATTCTCCTGTCGCCGTCTCCAATTCTTCACAACGTATTACCTCATCATTCTGCTGCTCTCCTCTGCAATTGTGCACTCCACTCCCCTTTTCCCTTTGCTCCACTTCGTCCTTTTGCTCCTTCTCTTTACCCTCTCTTTTCTCATTCTCCTCCTCTAGTTCCTCTCCTCCTCTGCCCCATAGCATTCCTTCTTTTCTGCCCAGTTCGTGCTACTGACAATCACCTCATGAAGAGTTTTGCTGCTCAATCTTCTGTTCTTAATTGCCCTCTGCCACACCGGCTGCCTATGTTTTCTGCCCCACCCCACTTTGCGCACCTCCCTTGCAGTGATCTCTCTCACAACTACCTCACAGGCCCCCTTGTGAAACTCCGGGGTTTCGAAGTGGACGTTTCCAACAACTACTTGTCAGGTGTTCTGAGTGGACCAGTCTGCAATGAATATAATCTCGGAGCCAACTGCTTCACAGTGTACAACAGCTGTAGCAAGTGGGCTCAGCGGCCTGCAGCACAGTGTGCGGCGTTCTGCGGCATCAACAGTACTACTGCTGCCTGTGGTGGTCTTGCCACCTGCTATCCAGACGGGCCTAGCTTGGTGCCGACGTGCGAGTGTCAACCAGGATTTGCACAGTTTGGAGGATTCAACTGCGGTGCAGAAGGTAATTCGTTAAAGTAGCAATTAGAATATGCTTAAATGACATGGGCACAAGGCCGAGTTGGGCCAAACGAGCTTCGTGCCGGCTTCGAACCAGGCGTCAGGCTTGATAGGCCGAGCCGAGCCGAGCCTCATCAAGCTGGCTTCACAAAAAATCTGGCTTCACTCGGTGAAGCTGGCTCGAGCCGAAGCCGGCTCGAGAAAGAGCCGCCTCGGCCCCGCACGGATGTCGCTATGATTGTCGTCTTGCTGGAGAGGACCATAGGGGAGTTGGTCCCCCAGGAGTTGGCATGCGCTGAAGCCGAGCCGCGACGAGCCAGCTTCGAACCGAGCCGGCTCCGACTCAAAGCCTTTGTGTGTGTTGGCCGAACCGAGCCAGTGGCTCGGCTTCAGCGAGCCGGTTCGGCTCGGACCGAGCCCGCTTCACAATGTACACTGTACATGCGATGCCTTAAGCATGCCGATTCCTCTGCTTCATCATGTGCACAATTTATTGCAAGCCAATCCAACTCGGCACCAAACATCGGATTTCACATTTCAATGCCCGTGTTCGCTGCTCAACAAACCCTCGGCTGAAGCATACTCAGTTGTAAACATTAAACCCTACGCCCCTACTTCTCTTCAGGCTGGGTCAAAAGCCTCCAAATCAGTGGGCCTATTCGCCCCCCTTTCACTATACTCACCAAGGGGACGCTACAAGAAACAGCAAAGAGTTTCATGGAGAAGCCTGTGACCCTGTTTGCTTACCCAAGTGGCGTGAGCTCGGGATGCGGTGTGGAGCTGGCTTTCAGTGTCAACTTCACCTTCCTCCTTATGCCCCAGTCTGGTACTGCCGGGTCCAATGGCTTTGCGTTTGTAATTGCAGAAAGGGCCAAGGTGGGGAATCCTGATGGTGTGGGGTATGGTGGAATGGGTACTCGGAGTATAGCCGTAGAATTTGACACACTTTATAATGACGCGCACGGCGATATGAGCAAGCAGCATGTGGGTCTGAATATCAATGGCACAGATAAGTCGTTGATCACGGTGGAATCGCCTTTCACCCTAAGTGATGGCAATGCATACACCGCATGGGTGGACTATGAGCCTGGGGATCCTGGCAACATTGAGGTGTACCTGGCTGATTCCAAGACGAAGCCAAGGGGGCCGCTGCTGCGAACAGATCTGTCGCTGTGTGCCGTGCTGGGGGCTGGTGTGAAGCAGCGGGCGTTCTTCTTTGGCTTCGTGGCATCCACCACAGTGAAGCCCTTCCAGCTGCATGGCATCGCCTACTCTGCCATGCAAACAGGCAAGAATATGTCAAGTTGGGTGATGGTGATGGTGGTGGTGATGGTGATGGTGATGGTGATGACATTGTGCATGATGAGTGTGTCTAGGTATAACGGGTCGTGGTGAAGGTGGTGGTGTTACAGCAGTGGTGGCAATGAGGACGCTGGTTTACGATGCACACTTTGCTGTAACCATCAGGTCTGCTCGGCTCCATGTGGCTTCCTGTTGTGATCTTCTGTTAGCGGTGGTAGTAGCTGTGATGATGAGTAGAGGTAGCTAGTTTTATTTGATCCTGTGCCTACCTATCTCTTGCTCAAGGCTCAACCAATCTTGTGGCTGCTGTGGTTGACTTTATTCTTGTGTGTCCCCTCTTAGGCATTTCTTCACTCAAGAAAGTCCACATCAGATACCAAGGTGATGCCTACTATGTGGCAACTACAAGTCTACAACTGATCCATACTATCAAAACTCATCCGTACTCGTAAAACTAATTGATTCTTCCCACGCCTTTTATGTCTCTCAACTACTTCTCTCGCACATCTCCCAGTTCTCATTTCTCTCGTTGTCCACCCCTTCCTGCCTCTCTCAGCCCGTGGCTTCAATTTATCAGTGGCCACATTTGCGCCACCTCGAGGCAGCCCTTTTTTGCGCTATGTGAGCTCCAACTACATCATGACGGACAGCGAAGAGGACTCCTGGGGCCTTGGCGATCTGCACTCGTGGAACGCCCTGGACTTCCTCGGCTGGCCTGTCAAGGATCAGATTGATTGCAGTGAGTGAATAGAGGGTGGCAAGCTGAAGTGGGTGTGGTTTTCATCTTCTTATCCATTTTAACCCTCTGCACTATACTTTTGAGATCGCATGCTTCACATTTCTGATTCTGTTTCCTCCAAGTATCTCATTGAGAGTACAAATTCCCATGGGAATAGTTTTTGTGGGAGGGATATGTGAATTCTGATGATGGCCACTGTAGTTTGTGCCATGTGCAACATTGCACGAGGCAGCAAGTGGCTCCATCCCCAAATGCTCTCCACCCTCATTGCATGCCCGCCTTTCTTTTTCTATTTCTTTGCAGATGCCTGATGGGCGTATGCGGTGGTGGCAAGCGTGGAGGCAGCATACGGAATCGCAAAGGACCAGATCGCTCCTCAGCTGTCAGTGGAGTCACTCTTTGCAGCCATGGGGCTGACCGACACAAACAAGTGCACCGTTGGAGGTTCCCCCGCCGAGGTTTTTGAGAAGCTGGTCACTCTTGATGGCAGCAGGGGACTCATAGAATTCAAGAATTGGGGGGTGTGTAGGTGTACTGTTTTATTCATGTGTATTCCTTTCACAATATTTGCTAATGACCTGCACTACATTCAACCTGCGGCTTAAAACACAGATATTTAGAGAGGCTTCAGCTGTCCTTGAGGTTTGAGATGTGTTTCGATTGGTGATTTTTTTTTCCATCCATGTAACAGAGTTTCTCTCCAATAAGATCTTCTCCTTGCATGTTTCTTTTACCATTTCCTTCCCTTTGTTTGTCTCGTGGTCCCAGGCAAGAACGTATCCGGTGCAGGCATTTGAGCGCACACAGTTCAAGGGGTATGTGGGGCTCATGCTGGCGGTGCGGCGCCAGCCAGTGGTGGTTCACATCGAGGCTTCTGCTGGCACCTTCGTCGCCTATGATGGGGTGAGTTATTGCAGCATGCACTCTGTGTGGCTCATGTGAATGACAACAAACATGGCTGTTAAGGACAACAAACATGGCTGTAAGTTGTAATGGTAAAATTTATGGCTGTAACGGACAACACACATGCCTATCATTACATCCACATGCATGCTTCCTGATCCCTTCTGTTTCTGCTTTAGTGCGCAATAGGTGTTCATGCATAGGCGACTGGGCTTCTGAATTCCCTGTTTGTGTTATGGTTGTGTCGTCCCCCTTTGGTTTCAGGTTTTCAAGTATCAGGATCCTGGTTGCTACACCGGCAACTTGAACCACGTTGTGCTCGTTGTCGGCTACTTCATCAATAGAGACGACGGCAGCCAGAAACGCATTGCTCCTCCATTTTGGATGATCCGCAACTCGTGGGGAGAGGAGTGGGGCGACGGGGGCCACATGCGCATGGACATTCAGGGAGGGGATGGCGTGTGTGGCATCAACGTGCTGCCTGGCATCTACCCCGTTGTCAAGAGTAAGGAACCTACTCCGTTCCAAACAAGGATGCATCTATTATATTGTCGAGGGTGTGGCATATGCCCATCATCACGGTTCAGGCATCCACCCCATTGTCGAGTTGTTGGCATGCACCCCATCGTTGGACAAAAAAACATATTGCAGAGGAAACCAAACGCAACAAGAGCACAGCAAAGTCAACAAATCTCAAAGAATCTGAGCATTTCCTTGATACACTCTGCATGTAAAAGTTTATTAATGTGATCCTTCAGGGTGATTTGGAGTCGACTCAAACTGGCAGGTGAGACTTTTGTTGCTGGCAGTCATTCCAGTTGCTACAAGTAGGCATGAGCAGGGGGCCAAGACAAGCCAGCTTGCCTCAAGCGGGGGTAGGCTCGTTTGCAGTTCAACCGTAGCCGCGCCACGGCTCAGCACTTGCTTATGTCTGCTAGCAGGATTTGGCAAATACTTATGAGGTGCTTCACTACTTTGCAGCCTGATTGAGGGGCATGAAGTTTGTTGTCTCGTGCTATGGTCTTTCTAGATTCTATACTGATGTGTTCAAGAGTGCCATCTTTGTCTCCTTCCAGTTCCAGGGGACCCCTGCAGCCAAAGCAGTCACAGGGTGGATCAGGATAGTTACGGCATGAACCCGTGCGGCCGGTTCCCATGCAAGGCGATTGGGGAAAGCAACAGCTGCAACTGCACTATTCCGGGAAAAAGGAGGCAACCTTTTGTTGAAGTTCGGAATGGAAATGGCTCCACATGTGCTTATGGTAAGATCTGGCTGCGATGAATGGTGAGCTTGCTGAGATTACCTTCCATTGAGCAATCATCTGTCTTAGTATGGTGATTAAAAGAGGCAAGCAAGCAGGCAAGGTAACCAGAGGCGGTTTCTCCCCATGTTGTTGTCTGTTGTCTGTTTTCCCACTATCTCCAATCTCTGTACTATCTGCCACCCCGATGCAATCATGCCAATGGATGTGTGCGGGTCGTACTTCAAGAACCCCTGCTATGTGGGTACATGCATCAACGATGGCAAAGGCACCTATTCCTGCATTTGTCCTCCCAACCACATTGAAGGCAAAACGGTTGACAACTTCCCCACCTGTGATCCAGGTGATGCTTCATTAAGCTGGGTTAGTGGGTATAGGTTGTACAGTTTTTTCTTTTGAACTTGCTAGTGCACTATTTGTTTGTCCACAAAGAATTCGCTTCCGATGCGCTTGAGATGGGCGATTTCTATCCTCTCCCCTCAAAAGTGATCCCCTCTTTTCTTTTCCGTAACACATCCGCTTTCACTCTCTGTAACATCTTCAGCTAATGTCACAACCACCAGAATGACCGTCAGTGGAGACAACTGGTGGTGTGAGGATGTTTATCCACTTGTTGGCCTCTCGTCAGGACAATTCACAAGCCGAAATCAGGTCAGGATTGGGTAAAGGGCATGGGATGTGACAGGCTAAAATAGCATGATGTACAGTGTGCTGTGCGCTCAGCTTTTTTACTTCCTCTTATGTACTATTTTGCCAGTTTTTTATATCCTCTAGCAGTGTTTACTCACACCACATGTTTCCAACATGAAATATGTTCCTCAGCATTAGTTCAGCCTTCTACTGATGAAAAAACATTTTAATATCTTCTAGAAATTTCTGTGGTATCTAGTATCAGCCAGTGATTAATAATATTTACTCTCCAGGAATGGCCTATAAGGCAGACTATTCATTCAAACCAACACGTTTCGATGCATTTGTTCCACAATGCAGGCCATTAATTGCAACCAGCCATTGCTCAAGGGCAGTGTCCTTCAGCTGGGTGGTACTCTCGCCACACCCTGCACTGCCTTCTTCTACACCCTTAAGGTGAGATATGGTGCCCTTTTGGTTGCACCACACTCTGCATCGTATTAGTCTCAATGCTAAAGAGAACGCACCAACTGCATTCTTCCTGCCGTAACTGTCCCTTTCAGGGAGACACCTGTTCATCCATCAGCGAGTTGGCCCTCTCCAATGAGGGCGTTCTTACCGCTCTCAACCCCGGTCTTGACTGCTCCAAGCCCATCAAGGCGGGCCGCTCGGTTTGCCTCGAGCACAATGCTGACTTTGCCTTCACTGTCCCCGAGTGTCTGCGATATGGCATGCTGACGCCTGAAGACACGTGTGCTTGGCTGCTTCAGAAGAACGCCAGGCCGGGTGAACCTGTCACTGGAGATTCCTGGGCTGAGCTGTACCGCAACAATCCTGGTCTCACTTGCTCCACCATTATCCCTTCGTCTGTCTCTGTTGTTGGCAGGAAGATTGGAGTGCAGGTGAGGGCCGTGTGTGTGCGGGGGTAGGGGGGTGAGGGGAGAGCGAGATGGGACAGCAGTGAGGAGGTGCACAAGGGTGAGTGTGGCCTGTTGGGCGACAGAGCTCATGTGCTATTGACATACCAGCCTTCAGACACCACTACCAGTCTGCTGGTAATCATTTCCATGCATAGCTTCCTCTGGAGTTTTTTCCTTGTTGCTCCTCCCTCTACTCTGCATTTCTGTTCTCAAATTAGTTTTCTCATACACCCTTATCCTTTCATGCACTTGTTTTCTGCAAACCTTGTTCTCCAGATCTGCCTCAGGGCAGAGTATTGGTCGTTCCAACTGGGCAGGTGCAGAAAGGGCAGGCTTAAGTCAGTCCCACAGTCAATGGCATGCTCAGCTGCTTACCGCTTCTACGGTGGAGCTACAACTACGGCTGTCGCAATGTTCAACGAATATAATGTCAAGTCTTGCTCTGGGGTTGTAGGATCCAAGTACATTTGCGTTCCTTGATCATTCTGTGGGCTTAGTTCTGAGTGCTTGGCCGAGCTACTGTGAGCTCTGCTGGAACCAGCAGTGGGTATGTCTGTACAGCTTGTGAGTGACTGCGCAGGCAGCAGGATGGGCCGATGCTGCACCAGACACACATCTCGAGCACTTGGTCAGCTGTTGGGGGGTATGCGAGTGCTTCTCGCCCATGGCAGGAAGCAGTGTAACAGATGTTGGGGTTAGGTGCCTAAACTAACGACTCAACCTGATGCCTGATATATGGTTGCGAGTGTCTCTTGCCATCATAGTGAAGCACTGCCCCCCTCCGAGCACTGTGCAACTATGCGTCCCTTGCGCATGGTCGGAATGGACCAAATGTTGTGACAGGCATGATTTCTTAATTTGTCTGTTCCTCGGAAATCCACCAGTAATCGACTGAGCAATGTCGCCTTTCTTTTTGTGAAGTGCGTACTGTCAAACTTATCTTGTTCCAGCCGGCCCCTAGCACCCGTTCCTGCCGGCCCCTTGCGCCCGTTCTAGCAGGCCCTAGCGCCCGTTCCAGCCGGCCCTCGCGGCCGTTCTAGCCGGCCCCCTAGCGCCCGTTCCGCCCGGCCCTCGCGCCCATTCTAGCCGCCCCCCCCTAGCGCCCGTTCCAGCCGACCCGCGCGCCCGTTCCAGCCGGCCCTCGCACCCGTTCTAGCCGCCCCCCCCTAGCGCCCGTTCCAGCTGACCCGGGCGCCCGTTCCAGCCGGCCCTCATGCCCGTTCTAGCCGCCCCCCTAGCGCCCGTTCCAGCCGACCCGCGCGCCCGTTCCAGCCGGCCCCTCGCGCCTGTTCCAGCCGGCCCTCGCTCCCATTCCAGCTGGCCCCTCGCGCCTGCTCCTAGCTGGACCCGCGCGCCTGTTCTAGCTGGCCCTTGCGCCCGTTCCAGCTGGCCCCTCGCGCCCGCTCCTAGCTGGTCCCGCGCGCCTGTCCTAGCTGGCCCTTGCGCCCATTCTAGCTGGCCCTCGCGCCCATTCCTAGCCGCCCTAGCGCCCGTTCCAGCCGGCCCCTCGATCCGTTCCTAGCCTGCCTCCGCGCCCGTTAGTAGCCGGCCCCCGCGCCCGTTCTTGATCGGCCCCGCGCTCGCTTCTACCCGGCTTCTCGCCCGTCCCTAGCTGGCCTCGAGCCCGCCCCTCGTCTGCCCCGCACCCGTCCCTCATCAGCCGGCCTGCCGCCGGCCCCCAGTGCCCAGTTTATAGCCGCGCGCCATACAGCACCGCACAGCACCGCTCCTCACCGCACTGCACCACACTGCACCGCACAGCACCGCTCTGTACTGCACCGCACAGCACCGCTCTGTACTGCACAGCACCGCTCTGCACCATACTGCACAGCACTGCACTGCTGCTGCATCGCTCCTGATGGCGGACTCCGTGCTACGCTTCGACGCGGAGGGACAGCCGCTTGAGTTCGACATGTGGCTGGTCGACCTCCGTCGTCACCTCACTGGTCAGCGGCAGGACGGCCACTCTCTGGCTGTCCACCTTGACAGTACGCTCCCCTGCCCTGACCCCCCTGCTCCCTTGCCCGCTGACCCCTCGTCTGCTGACTGTGAGTCCACCGCAGCTGCTGCCCTTGCCCGCTCAGTTTGGCTGTTGCGAGACGCCGTCGCGCAGCTTGCGATCAGTCATGCCCTCCCCCAGTCTGAGCGCCCCCGCTTTCGGTCAGTCACGACTGCGCAGGAATTCCTAGATGCCGTTATCAAGCGCTATTCCACCCCGCCCGCTGCCTCTGTAGGTCGCCTGATCCTACCGATGCTC